ACCACCAAAGCCCCCACACACCCACTGAAGTGAGGGGGGGTGTGGGGTAGGGAGGGAAAAAAACTCAACAAAGAAAGGGGTTTCGCCACGGTTGAGAAACACTGTCTAAGGCTTATCAATCCAGATCCAACATTAAAATACATGTAGCTACCACGTTGGGCCATTGTCTCATGTAGCCTGCTCATCCTTATGGCATTCTCTTTCTGAGATTTGGGGCACGTGCCTTTCTCGGTACTGGCTGGAGAGGGAGGCTGAGCCAGGCACTGTCTCTTTGCAAGGCGTGTAGTCATAGCATGCCATGATGTCCCCTGCCACTGTTGTCACCACAGCTGGTTCCTTAGTATTTGGGGCAGCTGCAAAAAAAAATTTAAAAATTACACTGCAGATGATGTGCTATACAACAGGTAAAAGTGCTACATTCATCATCATCATCAATCATCATCATCATCATCTACTGTAGTGCAATATCAGTTGCAGAGCCGTATCGCTTTGCTGAAATTGTTATCTCTCCCCTGTGTGATTTGTGTGGCTTTTCGCGTAGCTCGAAGGCACTTTAGCAAAGTTACTTTCATAACTTATCAATGTTATCAGTGCTGCTGTTTGCAGATGTGGAAGTGATCTCTCCTTTGGTCTTCTGCCTGCTGGGCACTAAATAGATTTTCTTCCCTGCGCTCAACTGGTGTGTAATTTCTTGTGTTTTGGTAATACCATCTAAGAATCTTTGGGTCTCTCTGAAGCTGTTAAATATATTACAGCAGAAAATATCCTTGAGGCCTGTCTCCTTTGGCTTCATATGCTAAATTTCTTCCCTTAGTAAATCCGTTGCAGGAATTGAGTGAAATGCCAAAGCGTTCAACTGCTCTGCTATAGAAACAGGATTGAGCCTTCAAAATGAGAAATGGCCCACAGTCATTGCTTTAACAAATAGCTTAGTTCAAATTCTGAAATCAAGAGATCTGGAATGGAGGCAGTCCCATTGCAAGGGCTGAGCAGGAGTGTGTTCAAGATTTAAGAATTAAACCTATAAATTATTTGCTTAATTAAAACTGAAGAACACAGAGGCTTTCTCTTTCTCATAAGAGAAAAGGCCAGCTGGTTTTCACATTACACTAAATCATAATGCTTTTTAGCTTCTTATAATAATTGAATCCAGCCATTAGGTTTTTTCAGTAAACCATGGTTAGTAAAATTGTCACTTAATTAAGGTGTATTCCCAACTGGTGACTTCTAAGATGATTCCTGCTGTGACATCTCTGTGCCTTATCTGAAAGCGAAGAGAGTATATGTTACGCTTCAGACTTTTTGCCCATATTCCTTTTATAAAGTGTCATTTAAATTGATGTTGATGTGCTACGTTTTTAACTGTTAAAGAGATTATGTAAAGAGGGTTGCCAACTTTAAGATGTCTGAGAGCGATTAAAGGAAGTTCTAAGCTCCTCGCCTGTAGATTTCCTTCTCTAAGGATCCCTAAGTTTGGTGATTTACCATCCTCCTAAATCAGGCTGGCCAAGTAAGAAAACAGATTTAAAGCTCGTAACAATATTTTTCTGGTTTTGTCCTTGTTCAGTTCTTGTAACGTTTTGTTTCATTTTTGCCTTTCAGGAACTGAGGACAGAAGCAATTGCAAGACCTCTGGAGATAAACGAAACCGAAAAAGTGATGCGCGTTGCCATCAAAGATATTTTGGTAAGGATGATGGCTTTTTAATGCAATGACTTTGTTAGGCATCGTCAGTAAGATCTTGCTTATTTTTTGCATTTAAAATTATATCCCACCCATATATGTAGAGAAAAAGGTTCATAATAAAAACTGGTAGACATTGTAATTAAAAAAACAACAGTCAAATGTATAGTCCTTGGGGAATACACTTTCCTCAAAGTTTTAATCAACTAGTCATCCAAGGAGGACCAACTTAATGTCTTGGGATGCAAAGTCCTATAACTTCCATTGTAATAAAACAGCCCTTGAACATTATCAGGGCAAATTTGGAGGGTAAAACTTGTTTACTTCTTTTGTTCCTAAGGGAAAGGCTCACAGAAAGAGAGGTAAATGTGGGAAGGCCGTGCTTAAACTTTCCACCCTGGCACTCCTCTGCTTCATTTCACTCTTCATTCCATGAGGCTCCTGTTTGTTCAGCATAACCGGGTCAAGGAGTTCCATATCGGAACTATAAATGGAAATAAATTGCACTTGAGATTTAAACTCAAATTCATATTACCCTCTATTAACACTCCAAGTATAGCTCCAGACGCTGTTGCATAATAGCATTTGGTTTCTTGGGCAATATATCCAATTTGGAAAACTCTCCCAGCTAGTTAGTTCCAAAGCTGCTTGAATGTCAAGGGCCCCTTTTTTTGCCAATTTAACCCTTTTAAAGAGTAACATTTTCAAAGTCCTCTGCATCTCTGAGGCTATGCAACATGTTTCTCTCCCCTGCTGCCTTTTTAAAACAGTCTTCTCATCGCTTTCTTCTAGTTGGGGAAGGGAGCATTATACTAGGGTTGCTGCAAAAGAGGACCCAAAAAATGTCTTGTCTCCAACAAGCAGTTCTAAAGAAGAAGGATTCACATAAAACAATGCCGAACAGTTGCAGACTCTTCAAACTTTGTTAATTTAGCAATGAACAAATAGTTATTCCTTTAGCTTCATGTTTGGACACCTTTGCTTTTAAGATGGTTTTCAATATCCTCCTTCTGAGAAGGAGCTTTTTCTTCTTTGACCTTCCTATTCTTGATAGAAAGACTTACAAGGGAAGCTGAACAGCTCTCACTTTTTTCATGTACAGCATCAGTATAAAACAGCTACTTCAAGATCCAATGGGAGTGTTTTCTCCCATGTTTGTACACCTTATAGCCATCTGTTTCCTTTACTTTTATGTATGAGGAGCTTCTCAGATCCCAGTATTTCTTGACATCCAGATAAAAATGACATTTGTCACCCTTCCTTGAAATGAGCAAAAGATCCTGGATGATTCTGGGAAGCTCGCTAATCAAACATGACACTGCATCCATCAGAAAGTGTCATTTTTGTTTTGCAAATTAGACCAAGAACCTATGATCTGAGGAATATTTACAGGCCTAAAACAGCAAGAGGATGTCTGTCTTTTCTTTCAGTCCAAGGGGAGCTAGTTTTACCGTGGAACAGTCTAGAACCATGCCGGCTGTCAGCTGTGACTGCTCAGGGTTCTTGAAATATTTGCTTATTAGTCCACTTCTGAGCAGGATTTTTCTTTTCCTGGGACAGAGGTTGCCTTGATATGCAGTGTTAATGTGTTAATATTATAATGGTCACCTGTGTCCTGCCAGTGTTTCAAGAAGCTCTGGGTGCTCCCTTCCCATTTCTCTTCATAGCAATCTTGTGAAGTAGACTAAAGGGGGAGACATTGATTAGTCCAGGGTTTCTCAACCTTGGCAACCTTAAGGTATCTGGATTTTGAGGTATCTGGACTTCAACTCCCAGAATTCCTCATCCAGCCATGCTGGCTGGGGAATTCTGGGAGCTGAAGTCCAGACATCTCAAAGTTGCCAAGATTGAGAAACACTGGACTAGCCTATGACAGTCCAATGAGCTTCATGGCTGAATGGGGATTTCACTCTGCTTCTCCCTCAGCCTAGTTGTGTATTCTGTACTACATTGGCTCTTAGCACACACAGCCCTAGATCTATGTACCCGAAAAAGAAATTAGGAAAATATTTCGAATCAATATTGAACAATGCTTGGAATCAAAAGCTAATTTGAGGATACCACCAGAAATTTATTTATTCTGCCCATCTCATGCCCATCTACAGTAGACTCGCGGATGTGATTCTGGGCGGCGTACAGTAGACATGGCAGCTCATCTCTGCTGTGGGTTCCCCCCCTTTTTTTTTTGCAGGAGCAAGTCCAGAAAATGAAAGACATGCTGAACAATGTGGCTGCTGATGAAGCCAGTTTGGAAGCCAAGATTGAAAAGAGGAAGTCTGAGCTGGAGAGAAACCACAAGCGCCTGCAAACTTTGCAGAGTGTTCGGTAGGAGCTAATATCCTCTCTGTCCTTTGAAAAGTTAACTGAATGTTCATTTGCCCATGGTGGGGTGAGAAATGTTGACCTCCAAGGATTGCTGTAAAGCACGACTTCTTCTAATGTGCTCTTTACAACGGTCAGTTGGTCGGTTGTTTTTAGTCATCCTTTTGTCTAGTCATTAGATCTTCCAAATAACAAGCATAAGGCTACTTCAAGCTTTACTCAATAATTTTAAGCTTTTCACTATTATGAGTTTTAACCCCCACCACAAATGAGTTAAAAGAAAGTGGGATCTGTTGAGCCGGTACTTTGTTTTCAGTGCCTGAAGGCATCCTGCAAACTCATTGCTTCTTTGACTATCCTTTCTACAGACTTCAGAGCCCCCAGGAACTCCACCCATGTTTCCTGCCTTTTGGATCGATCAGCCTGAAGTTGGGCATTGAAGAATAGGTGGCTGTTTCTCAGCCATGCTATGTTTTTTTCCTTGAGCTATTAGCGTTGCTTTATTGGTGCCTTGTGAAATGGAGCGCCATAACCACGCGGGAAAGAAATGTTCATTGATAGAATGAAAGCCAGCATGGATCCTGGAGTCTAAGTGTGATAGCAAGGAGTGTGTGTAATTGTGCAATTTGCAGGTGGAGCATTATGTTCACCTTCTTTAGCCTACTGGAAGGCCATTCTTCTTTAAAGTACCTTTTGTCAAAAAAGGTAGCAAGAGCCCCAAGAATTATAGGCTTATTAGAATGTACAGTGTAAGCATTTAAACCTGTTTCATAGAGCATGCAATGTGGGAATTACATTGTTTCAGATATAGCCATTTATTTATTTATGTTATGTTATGTCCAATAACCCTGGGAGGCTTATAAAACAGCAGTAAAAACATCCCCAAACCATAAAACCATAACAAAAACATTGCATGGTGTGATCATGCAGAATAATACAATTATTGATCAGTGAGATTGTGCATTAGAAAGATGGCGGCTTGTGAGGTAACCTGGTGGAACAATCTTCGTAAACCTGGGCATCTTTCAGATATCTGAACTTCAACTTTCAGAATTGGCCATGCTGCGTAGAGAATTCCAGCGGTTGAATTCCAACATTTGTAGGATACCCAGCTGGGGGAAAGCTGGGCTGGAACATTTGTCAGATTAATCATAGCAACTCCATTTTTCTAAGCTGCATGGAAAAAAATCTGTCTACATGGTTGTGCATGGAAGTATACCAGTGTTTGGAAATGAATATAGTTATTACTTTTAACGCTATGTGGACTCTGTTTTCCTTAACACTTTAAATTTTGCTTTTTAATTGATATCTCCTTTTACATTTGGGGCTTCCCACCTTCTTCCATGGCCTACCTGGAGCTATGTAGCCTTAAATATTGGAGTTGGGAGGAGTTCCTTTATATGGGTTAATGCCGACACCCTCAAATGTATGGTTCAAACAAGTGAGGTATTGGCAGTGATATTTGGGGAAATAAACAAGGCACAAAAGATAATATGACAGTTTACTGCCCAACTGCAAATACAGTGTTTATCATCGTCCTTTTCTTTGGCTGAGTATGTATCGCACTAAGCTATAAAAAGGTTTGTTTGATTTTAACTTAGTGTATGTTGTGCGAACCTATTCATTGTAGTTGGTAAATGATGTTTTACATTTTAAAGTATTATGCCAGCCCAGCCAGTTTTAACCCATAAATCATGATTTATCAAATCATGGCTTAGTGCAGTGTGTGAACCCAGCCTTTTTGTCCTCACCAGCCCAGCCTTTATGGATGAATACGAGAAAATTGAGGAGGAGTTGCAGAAACAATACAGCTGTTACGTGGAGAAGTTTCGTAACTTGATGTACCTGGAGCAACAACTGGATGACCAACACCGCATGGAGCAAGAGAGATTTGAGGCAAGTTTCTAAATATTACAGTACTTGAAGTGCTTTAGTCATAATTTCTATCGTGCATGTCCCTTAAATACATTTCTTCTGTTATCTGCTGTTTTATCCTAATTATTGGATATATTTAGTGTCGGGGCTTTGAGTCTTCCTATAGAATCCTCAGGGTACTGATTTTCATCTTCTCAGAACTGCTCTCTTTTTAAAGAATAGTCAAAGATTCATAAAAGGAAAATTATGCAATACAGCTAAAAATCCCACCTGGGTGAAAAGATATGCAGTGAATAAATGGAGTTACAGCAGAGTCATTTGTAATTGTGAGTACCGTTTTCCCCAGCATTACAGTAAAGTGTATCAACTCAGGCATTAGACTCTGGTTATGTCATTCATCTTTCAAGCTTTTTATTTAAAAAAAAAAAGGTACCTGCAGGCATTTTAAAGAATTATAAAAATGCTCTGGGAATGGGTAGGTTAATGATTTTACATGTCCAAGCCAATAGCTTACTTTCTGCAGGGAGATACATCTTTGGCACATTAAACTTTTGCCTAGTTGCATGTTTTTGTTTTAATCTTGTTTCACAACTTAAATATATTTCTCTATAAACTAAGGAAACTACTTCTTCCAATCTTACACTAGTGTACCTAAGCATTATGGTTTCAGCTTTCCAATCAGGGGAACCATGGATAGAGAACAAAATATGGGCATCTAACACAGACTTTTAATATTTTTACATCATATTCGTATATAAACTTAGATGTCCTTAATTCTGCATAGAATAGAGTTTTTAGCGTTACGTCTGTGTGAGCTCTAGTTTCATACCATTGGGAAATGAAATCTCTTTGCCTGTGGTGAATCTATTTCCAGTAGAATCAAGAAATGCAGTTTACCTTGTTCAGCCTGGATATTTTAGCTGCCTGTAAAACTCCAGGAGCATTGAAAATATTTGAAACTTTTTTTTTTTAAACCAACAATTGAATACTGTCAGGTAAGAAATTTGGAATGGAGAATTGGAGTATCCTATATTACAAAATCAGTGGTCCCAGAAACGAAATATACTACATTGATTTAAAAAGGTCTGGTTATTGTCTTTCCTCTTGAGATGTAATAAGTAGAAGGCACTTCACTGCATATGATATGGTCATGTCCACTCATAGCCTCTTTTTGGTTAGCTGTTAACATTATGGTAAACCAGGTTCTTGGGAGAAAATGCAGATTTAAAGTTGTTAATATTTTATTAAATTATATCTCCAAAATATGATATTTGTCTATGAAGAGCTTTGGAAATACCATATCTGTGCTATGTCAAAAAATATTGAAGGATATGGGATTCTAAAGGATGACTTAACAAAATTTGACAATTTTCAGCCTTTGAATTGGCTTGAAAGAAAGGAGATACGATAGAGTCATAATAGATTTGGACCAAATGATATGAAGTCTACATTTAACTTGTTGCTTAAAAGTTGAGCTGCATTATCTTGCACTAAGCTGTAATAAAGAATTCTGTACTATACCAATATAGAATAATGTATTATTATTGTATTTTTATGTTCTATTTGATTTTTTCATTTTATTCTTTTTTCCCTTTTTTCTTTCTCTTTTTTCTGCAATGTATTGGCTTATTAGTATATAAGTAGTTGGTCCATATTATTTAGGGTTTGTTTGAATGTATAGCTTTAGTTGGGTTGTTTAAATTGAATTTACACATTTTGTTTTTCTGGTTTTATTCTACATTATTTGTAACTTGAAGGGTATCAATAAATTTATAGAAGAGTTTTGCAATTAAAAATTCAGGTGCTTCCTTCGTAGAACTTAAAGGTATTTTGGAATCTTCATTTCAGAAAGTTTTTAAAATGAGGTTAGGCAGCCAAGTGTTTGAAATGAGAGCTTTTTTCTTTCCTTGCCTTACTAATTGCCTACCGTTTGAACATATTTGCCAGAAATTAGGTTTTATCGCAAATGCTGGAAAGTCATTTATTGCAGCCCTTCTTGGAACTGCACTTCTACTACTGTGCTTCGTAATTGTCTTCTCTTTCTTCAGATTAACAAAAGAAAATATGATTTGCAATCAGAAATGAAATTGCAATCTTTGTAGTACCTACTTTTCCAGTTTAATGGACCTTTGCTGATATTCTTAGTTCTGATTTTCCTTTTCTGCCAGTTTAGCAAAGCTTTAGTCATCCTGGTACAAAGGAAATAACATCTTCTGGGCTCTGTTTGCTGAAAGGACCAAGATATTCACTCGAGTTATTTGGTTATGTGCTTATTTTCTGGATGTGTTTTTAAGAAATAGTACTTTTCTCCATACCTGTGGAGAAATGAATTTTTATAAGGTGATCTACTTATAATTTCTAAGACGCTTGGCAAACACAGTGGTTTGTGTTCTTTGTTCTTTTTTCCATGGCTGGCAATACTGGGTAGGTTGCATTTTTAATTGGAAAAGAGAGTCAAAGGTTAAGCAAATATTTTGTCATCTAACTGAGCACTCTGGATTACATGCAGCCCGCTTTTGAAAAATGTCCCTTCCCATTTATAAAGGCCAATGAAAAGAAATTGCATTCAGTATATAAGTATGTAATTAAACCTGTTCTTTTTTGCTCCCTCCAGATTGAAAAAAAACAGTGGTACGCTGTTATCAGGGTATGATTAAATCAGGGTATGATTATATAGATCAGGGATGAGCAACTCTGGCCGATAGGATGCACTTGACCCACCCCATCTTTATTTATTTTTATATATCTGGAGCCCTTCCAGCTCACAATGGAATTTTGGAGCATAATCTTTGTTTTAACTGAAAGAAGAAGCAAAGAAAAATGTGTTATGTTTTCCAAAAAATGTGTTACATTAAAAAGGCTGTGAAAACAGGGCTGACCATTTTGGACCCACCCCTCCTGATGGTGACACAATCAGGGCTCCCTGATGCAATCTTGGCCCATTCCTGCCAAACCAACTTAGCTGCTTTTGACGTAGATTTCTATTAATCCCATCCAAGAATTCTGAGGTTCCGCAGTTGGAATATGGAAGTGCTTGATGCAAATACATGTAAAATACAGAAGAGGCCCTCTTCAGCTTCTCTTGTTATGAATCCTATCTTTGCTGGTGGGATAGTCTGTGTAGGGGCCCGCTGGTTACCCTTCTGGCTAACTTTTGCTTTCCTCCTGCCCAGATACTCCCCCCATACTTTCTTCCAAGGTGGCCAAGTCAAGTCTGATGTGTGTGTTGGTGTCCCTTTCACACCATTCTTGTCTTAGGCATTTTCGTTTTGATTGATTTAAAGTACCTTGGGAGTGGGCGAATCACTTCATTTTTTAAAATTATATTGGTCTTGTACCACATACTGATATACGTTATTGTTTTGATTGGTTTTATATTTTTAGAGAATTTCAGTTAGGTAGATTATTCATATTATAATCATACACGGGGTTTTTTATGTGTGTGTGCGCCTTCAGATCAGGCTTGACTTCTAGCAATTATACGGATAAATCCATGTAGTTGTCCTGGCAAGATTTTTGGAAGTAGTTTGCTATTGCCTTCTTCTTAGGGCTGAGAGGGACTGGCCCCAAATCACCCACCTGGCTTCCTGCCTAAGACAGAACTAAATCTCACAGACTCCTGGTTTCTGCCCCAGGACCACTACACCAAACTGGGTCTCAGTCATACAGTTACTGGCCTCTTATTTCTGATCTTATAGGACTAGGTGTGGAGATACTGCAGAAGAAGGTTGAGCCATTTACTCTCTCTCTAAGGAATCCTTTCTTCACTGAGTTGGCTGGCAGTTGGTTGGTTTCCACTCTTAACTTCCATGGGTTTGTAAGTGCTGCGCTGTAGTAATGTCCCACTCTAGCCAGTTGCTGTTGTTGTTTCACTCTGTTGCTGTCCACAACAAGAGTACATCTCACAAGGTTCCTAATCTTCTCCTGTTGCTGGGCAGATGAACATTCAGAGAAGCTTCTCTGCCTCTCTTGACTTCTCAACGAAAAGGAAATTCCAAACTCCTAGGAAGACTTTTTTGCTTTTTAAGCATAGGCTGAAATATACAGATACAGCCCTTGAAGGGAGAAAAAGGTGGTTGTTCAGCAGCCCTTACTCAGAGGTGGCATTGTTCCTTTCCATAGCAAACTCAGATTGTGAAGGCCAATTTAAAAGGAAAGCGGTGCCCCTGAAAAATAAAAGGGAAAGGTTGTCATGCTTGGAGCAATTCTGAGCTTCGAAGAAGGGCATAACCCCCTCCCTTACTTAAAACAACCATGGGTGAAGCCAGACAGCCTGGTGACAATACAGCGTGTTCAGTAGGTGGAGAATGCCGAGTGACTGTTGGCAAAAAGGATGGGAGGGAGCAGGGAAAAGAACTGGGAATGAAAAAGAGGAGGGCACATTCCAATCCTTGTTACCAGACCCTGAGTTGCTTATATTGACAGGTTAATTATATTCAAGTTAAAGAGCAGAAGGATGTTGCCTTGCTGTGAGCTCTTGGCTGGGTTAGAAAAATGCCTGCTCTGTTTGACTGGATCCTTCTTTATGTGTTCCTTGGGGGTAAGTTAATATCCTCTTCAGCCCCCCGACCATCTGCAGTGAGCACAGATCGCTTCTGCACTAGGTAAATGGAGGGCGGGAGGAGATGCAATTAGGGCTTCCATATAGCTTATTCAGTTCTGAAATGATTAACTCTCTTCAATTCTCTTCTGTTGAGAATAAGTAATTACAATTAAATTCTTGGCATACAGATTGTTCCCAGGCAACTTCGGTTTGGAACAATAGTTCTCTCCTTTTTGCATCTAAAGTCACACCAATTCTTTGATCAAAGAACTTGGGTCTTACTATAATAAAATTTAAAAGATCCCCCCCACCCCCGCAAAAGGCATTGATAAGTTTAAAGGTCTTATGTGGTTATATTGATCATTTATATTATGTTTTAAAGACTGCCATGAGTCCTTGGGAAATATGGTAGTGTAACAATAGAGCAAATAAATAAAATTTCAGTGACTAAAACTACACTTCTAGCCTGCTCTGGAAT